AGCATGAGAGGGAGGAGGGTCAGAGGGAGAAGCAGACTCCCTGCTGAGCAGTGAGCCCGATGTGGGACTCGATCCCGGGACTCCAGGATCATGACCTGAGCCGAAGGCAGTCGCCTAACCAACTAAGCCACCCAGGTACCCTGAAAATTTTTTTTTAAAGTTAATTTTTCAAAATAACCAGGAGCTAAGACTAAATTTTCCAAAGCATGTTTCATGGACTATTAGTCCCATGAAGTATTAAAAGATGTTCCTTGTATTCAAATAATATTGGGAAACACTGAATATTATTTTGTCTCCTTTTGAGGATTTACCACGCATTTAAGCATATGAAAGGCTCTTAAGAATAGTGCAGTAAAAAAAACTTGTATAAATTTGTTTATATAAGCATTCCAAATATAATCCAATACTTCTTCCTACAAATTTAATACCTATTAATATTCTGTAAAACTAGTATTCTGTCTACCAAATCTACTCATAAAAAAGGAAATATAAATAAAAACAGAAGTGGGAAAGGGTACTCAATAACTGAGAGAGTTTATCAGAAAATTTAAAAGAATGTCAGTATGAAAATTTTAATCACAGAAATGGCAATCTCATAAATTTCAACTTAGTAAGTTTACCACCTCTATGACTTAGGTAAATTTTTTAAAAATATATAATTTATAAAAATAGACTCATAACATAGTATAAATCACTATTTTTCTACAGTTCATAAAAAATTATCAGCACAGAAAATTTAATAGAAAAGCTTTTACCTTAAAGAACAAATAATTTCCATACTATACAACTTCACAGATATAAACAAAAGGAATGAAAAAAAAGTATGGAAAAGGAAACCCCCTCTTGCCTACAAAAATAGCACAGAAAGAGAAAACCACAGCCTAATCATTAGTAAATAAGGATTCAAAAATAAAATATTAGAAAACCAAATTTTAAGAGACTATGAAAGAAAAACCCATAATGATCAACTAGTTTAATCAAGAAATGCAAAGATTAGTCACTTAAGTTCTTCTCAACAGACAACAAAAAATAATGCACTTGAAACTGAACACCTATTTTTCTTTAAAGATTTTATTTATTTATTTGAGAGAGAGAAAGAAAGAGCACATGAAGGGGGAGGGTCAGAGGGAGAAGCAGACTCCCTGCTTAGCAGGGAGCCTGATGTGGGACTCAATCCTGGGACTCCAGGATCATGACCTGAGCCGACGAAGGCAGACGCTTAACTGACTGAGCCACTCTAGAGCCCCTGTACACCTATTTCTGATGAAGAGAAAACCTTTATAAATTAAGCTTAGATGAATATTAACACAACAAATATTTTATAGCAACGGGTACATCATATGTAATAAAACACTGGAAGTATTCCCATTAAAATCAGAAACACTATTTTAGATGCTCTGGTTACAGCAAAAGGCCATGAGATATAGCTGTCAGAAATTCTAATCACAAATTATGACTGCCTCCCTTGAAAATCCAATAGAATCAACTGATAATGTATCATGAAAATTCAGTGAAGTGATTAAAAATAAATTACCACAAACTCAAAAGTTGCTACTTACAGATTGAAAACATGGGGAAACAATATTCCATAACAGCAACAAAAACATCAACTATCTACAGTACTTAAAATGAAATAGGAACAATATGAAGAAAATTTTTTAAATCATACCTGAGAAAAATAAAGACTTGAAAAAAAAAAAGATATATCTTGAATCGATTTAACTGTGTAACTAACATGAAAATAAATGTGGGAATTACAGCTACAGAAAAAGTATAGGTGTTATACACATTTGATATAATTAATAAATTATAAATATCTAATATAATTGGTATTTGATCATTGATATAATTAATAAAAGTCCTGAAGAGAAAAGAAAATTAGTAATGTTCTATTTGTTGACCTGATTGGCTACATGGTATTCTTTTTACAATAACTCCATTAAATGGTTCATATATACTTTTGTGTACTTTTCTCTATGTATCTTTCATAAGTTGAAAAAAGTCAAACGAAACAGAACAAAAAACCAAAAAACCTTCCAATGGATGAGTTTAATAGGAGTAGAGAGAAATACTGACAGGGAAGACAGAACGGATGAAATTACCTAGATTGCAACCTAAAGACAGAAAAAGTGAAAGAGAGGTCAAAATGCATAGAGAACATTGTGAGAAGATCTAACATACATCTAATGGGAGTTCAGACAGGAAGGAGCAAGGGAATAGGAGATGATGAATAAGAACTTGATAATAACAACAATTCAAAGATTCATGAAACCTCAAAAAAAAAAAAAAAAGAAAAAAAATCTATACCTTAAAACTACAGAATGCCAGGGGCACCTGGGTGGCTCAGTCGTTAAGCTACTGCCTTCAGCTCAGGTCATGATCCCAGAGTCCTGGGATCAAGCCCCGCATCGGGCTCCCTGCTCCGCGGGAAGCCT